GGAAAAAGAAAACTTTTATTTCTATTACAATGTATTGCATCTGTCTGGTTTTGCTGGCAAATTAAGATGGTCCTGGTCCCTCAGGATGCTTTTTCCGTTAATAAATGTCCTATGTAAATAAGAGCAGCTTACTTCATAGTTTGGAATTCTTTCCTCTTGATAAGTGTTCATTGAACATAAATTTACCTTTTACCTTATGTGCTAAGAACTAAACGATATAATCAGATACATTTTACACCAAAAATCACACCTTAAGTTTTTTGGTTTTTGCTTGGTGTGCTGGTTAGTTTGTAAGGGTTTGTTATTTTATAATACCAAACTATAATTACTCTTAAATCATTTTATAATCAATTTTCATTTTAAATGGAACTATAATATTAATATACTATTAGGATATGATGTTTGGTAAAACACAAACCTAAAAAGTTATAGTCCTTAGTGATTTGTGTTACCAAGACATTCTGGCAGAACTAAATTACTTAAACTTTTAATTCTGCTATTCCTTTTGAGATATATCTACAGAGTGTATTTTGAGAAAGAATTCAAAATGTAGAAACACCAAAAACTACATCCTGAAGCCAGCTTGCATTGTGATCCAAGTTTAATGAATTCTACACTAATACTGTAGGAATTCCAGTTGTATTTTCTTTCTCATCTCATGAGAAACTAAACCAAAGTAATTGGTGTTTTAAAAGGGTATAGTTCCCTCCCCAGATTCAAAAGCTTGATAGAAGCACTGTTATGTATCATTTGAATAGCAAGATACAGAATTGTGTTGTGTCTTTAATGGTTTAAAAAAAAAACAATTCAAAATAGACTTAAAAGTAAAAACATACCTGTTTGTATTATAAGAGCTATCAACAGAACAATTCAAGCTCTGCATGCCAGGTACTATTTTAGTCTTAAACCCCTTCCGATCTTATTTCAAAAGATGTCCAACATGGATTTTTGTTTGTTTGTTTGTTTTGACAGAGCCTCAAGCTGTTGCCCTGGGTAGAGTGCTGTGGCATCACAGCTCACAGCAACCTCAAACTCCTGGGCTTAACCAATTTTCTTGCCTCAGCCTCCCGAATAGCTGGGACTACAGGCGCTGCCACAACACCCATCTATTTTTTGGTTGTAGTTAGCATTGTTTGGCCGGCCCAGGCTGGATTCGAACCCGCCAGCTCTGGTATATGTAGCTGGCGCCTTAGGCGCTTGAGCCACAGGCACCACTCCACATGGTTTTCTTGTTGCATTTGTTCACCTGCTCTACTGGAGGAAAAGTGCACTCACACCAGTTTTACAGAGAAATCACTCATCTTGTGAGCAGTGTGAGGAGCAGACATTCAGGAAGGAGAGAAAGACCATCTTCTGACACTGAGGAAAGGCTAAATGGGAAGATGCGTTTTAGGATGCAAAATGAAATCCACAGGGGATTGCGTGGTCTACACCCGAAGAAGGAAACCATTTCTACTGTGAGACATGCAGGGAAGCTGGACTTCAGCCTGGAGATGGCTTGGAGGAGTATCCCGCTCAAAAAAATTATAAACAGGTTCCGTGCCTGTAGCTCAGGGGCTAGGGCACAAGCCACATACACCGGAGCTGGTGCATTTGAATTCAGGCTGGGCCTGCCAAAAGACAATAACTACAACAAAAAAATACCCAGGCGTTGTAGTAGATGCCTGTAGTTCCAGCTACTTGGGAGGCTGAGGCAAGAGAATCACTGAAGCCCAAGAGTTTGAGGTTGCTGTGAGCTGTGACGCCATAGCACTCTATCCAAGGCAACATAGTGAGACTCCGTCTCAAAAAAAATAAATTAGTAAATTATAAACAGGCTTAGCGCCCATAGCTCGGAGGTTAGGGTACCAGCCACATACCCCGGGGCTCTAGTGCTAAACAATGACAACTACAACAACAACAACAACAAAACAGCTGGGTGTTGTGGCAGGCACCTATAGTCCCAGCTACTTGGGAAGCCGAGGCAAGAGAATCGCTTAAAGCCCAAGAGTTTGAGGTTGCTGTGAGCTGTAATGTCACAGCACTCTACCAAGGCAACATAGTGAGACTCTGTCAAAAAAAAAATAGGCTCGGCGCCTGTGGTTCAAGTAGCTAAGGCGCCAGCCACATACACCTGAGCTGGCAGGTTTGAATCCAGCCTGGACCACCAAACAACAATGACGGCTGCAACCAAAAAATAGCCAGGCGTGTGGCGGGCACCTATAGTCCCAGCTACTTGGGAGGCT